TTAGATTACTTTTATAAAAATCATCTTTATAATAAGGTATTTTTATAAGATTAACCACTTATTTGATGATTTATTTATCTACATAAAAGCAATTTAAAAAATTTTTTTAAATTGATTTATAAAGAAACTTATATTTTATGATTAATAAATATATTACTAATGAACTTTTTTCATTAATTTTGACAAATAATAAAGAGAAATTTTGCTTTATAAATGTTAATTAAATAATATTTCAAGTCAAAAGATCTTAATTCAGAATTACCAAATATTTAATAGAAAAGAAAAAAAATTTATCTTTGTGCTTTTCCTTTAATAATTAAATTTTCGTTACGTAATCAATTTAATTCCGGTCAGAATTACCGCCAAATTTATCATTATTGTAAAAATTTCACTTAAAAACACTCGATTTTTATCATTTTATAAGTATTTCTTTCTCTTAAAGAATTTATAAGAATAAAAAACTTATTCTACAAAATCCTATATCTAGCTCTAATTTTTCTCAATAATGTTTCCAGCGAGTTTCATTTAAAGAAACGCGTCAAATAAAGTATCAAAGAGTAAACGACTCGATATAATTTTTTTATCATCTCTCGGGTTTTACATTTTTCAACCCGTGAACTCAAGGAAAAACAACTAACTATACAATTTAAACAGCACGATTGATTTTCAGGGTAAATCTTGGGGGAAAATTTTTTATTGGGAAGGAAGTTTTGATGAACTTTTAAAAGAATTAAAAGATATAAAAAGGTGTGAAGGGGAAAAATTAACATGGGGAGGGGAATGTAATGAAAAAAAAAAATGTAAAAACTTGAAAATGAAAAAAAGAAACGGCTTGAAAATAAATGTCTATGCACAGTGTTCAATGATACAACCCAAAGCCGTGCATTGCATCTTTTTGAGAGAACTATCCTATTGTTCAACATACAACATTTAAGGGATACGAAACAAAGAAAAAAAGAAATAAAAAATAGCAATGATAAAGGGTACGTTTCTAAATTTGGCAATACAAATTAGCAATGCGAAGTCGATTTCAGAAGAATACACATATATTCGTGATATTATTACCTTCTAAATTTGTGAGGTTATTATCTAAACCATTGCTTAAATTGCTTTAAAAAGGGTTGTGATGTGAAGAAAAAAAGATTTGAGAAAAAAAAAAAAGGCTAGAACAGAAAATCGTACGAAAGAAATTTTTTGTATTGAGAAGAAAGTTCCAACTAAATCATCTCTTTACATTGGATTGCTACTACCACCAAAGTGAAATCCTCCAGAAGGCATTTCTACATCCGATGGAAAAGCAAATTGACCTGTATTCGTATTCATCTCAGGAGCCAAATTAGGGTCTTCTTCTTCATCTTCTGCAAAGTATTTATCAATTATATGATAGGCCTTCTTGTAAATTTCAATATTGTCGTGAATCTGCAAGTTGTGAACTTTCTCCATACCACCAGCTTCTTCAACATATAGGGCGAATTGATTTACGCTATCTACCTTATCAATTTCACCAACTTTTAGGATATTTTCGAGTCCATCAAGTGAAACTTGAATAATTTTATTATCCAGGCAAGTTAATAAATCACAGAGTGGTTTAATGCATCCTTGACTAACAAGATATTTGATTTGTTCAGGTTTATTCAAACCGCCAGACGTTGCATTGGAAATAGCCCAGCATGCTTCCTTGCGAGTCTTAAAGTCGGCGTGTTGCAAGATGTTAATAAGGGGTGGTATAATATTCGCATCAATAACTGCCTGTATTTGCGTACAATTTCCGGGAGTAATATTGGAAATTGTCCAACAAGCTTCCTTACGAAGACCATCCTTTGGACTAGATAATAAACTCAATAAAGCAGGTAAAGCACCACAATTGATGATAACTTGAGTTTGGACATCATCACCAGTAACAATATTTCCAACTGAACGTAATGCTGGAGTTTGTACGGAAGTTGATGAATGCCTGGATAAAGAAATAAAATGTCATGTTAGTTGCTAAGAATAAAAATTAACAAAAATTGAAGAATCTTACATCAAAAGCTCGACAAGCCGACGGCAAACGCCAGATTCAATAACTGCTTGTATTTTTTCATTACTGCCGTCTGATAAATATGAGATAGCCCAACAAGCATCAATAAGAACCTCATCGTCAATAGAATAGATTAGTTTGGCGAGAACTGGAAGAGCTGGAGCAATCTAAAGTAACAAAATCATAATCGTTAATAAAATTTAATAATAATTTTGAATTAAAAGTGAAATCATAATCTTACCAGACTCCAGTCTGGTTGAGGATTTTTTCCTCGACAGAAGTTAGATAGGGTCCAAGTTGCATTTCTCAACATTGAAAGTTTGTGATGTTCATTCAAGATGGCCAATAAAGGTCGAAGGGCTCCTTCACGCAAGACATAATCACGACATGGAGGACTATCACCGGCAATATTACCTAAAGCCCAAACAGCCTAATATTCAAATTGGAACTGCATATTAAGTAAAATAAATCAAAAACATAATCGAACCGTAAAGAATAATATAATAAATGTACCTGTTCTTTAACATCAGCAACTGGACTACTCAATAATTCAACAAAGATAGGAACGGCTCCAGCATCGATCACAACTTGGGTTTGCTGTGAAGATCCTGATGCAATATTAGTCAAAGCCCAAGCTGCTTCAAACTAAATTGATCAAAAACGCGTAATGAATTAAGTTTTTTTTTTTTTTTTTTTAAAAAAAAAAAAAAAGCATATAAGCCTTAAAATGAATACTTACTTGAACCAAAGAGTGAGGAGATCTTAAAAATTCCACAAAACGGATAACAACTCCACATTCGATAACTTGTTCAATAGGGGGATTCCTTTCTTTCGAAAGCAATTTTCTAAACTTGGTAGTGGCTTGCAATTGCTCCTCAACATTTTCAGAGAAGACTCCATGTATCATACCAGGCAACTGCTCTTGGAGCTAAGCCACAACGTAAAAAAAAAATATAAGTATAGTATAAAATATCATCAAATAAATAATGATGGCCCCTCAAAAATATTGAGAATTATAATAAGCCTAACAAAGATAATATAAACTACTATGATCTATAAAGAGCTTGGTAACGCCGCCAAGGGAAAGTTTACTCGTAGTACAGAGAATGTTGGAATTCTATGTATACTGCGTAAAAGCTAAATAAATAACAAATAGTAAACCTCCCATAACTTACCTGAGCGTTGATGGTCGCAACAGCCACCTCATCATCCGAGTCGGGTGAGGCAGGTACATTAAGATTACGACGTTTTGCCAAAGATTCTTCTCGGTTCTTTCGACGAATTTCTACTTGTAATTCCTCACGACGTCTGCGTAATTCGTCAGCCTTAAAAACAGCCTTTGCCTTGAAAGCATTTTTCCTATGTTCAGGTATTTTATCTTTATCCATGTTTTCCATTCTTTTTATAAAATCCTAGGCCACTGATCACTTGAACCACTATTAAACCCTTCCCAAGAGCAAAAAAGGTAAAATGATGCCTCTAGCTTGTTAAAAAATCTTACAAGTGTGATAGTGGAATTGATTACAAATCATGTGATCACTACAAAAAGTATGCCTATTAGAAACCTGCAATTAACGTAGTCAATTATAAACTATGAAAGCTATAAGCATTTCTATAAAAGAACTAAAGATCTTATGATAACAATAAAGTGAGATATTATCAGATAAGAAATAGTTCATTTTCTTTCTTGAAGAAAAAAAAAAAAAAATGACAAATCTGAACGTTAAGAAAGCTCTTATGTTGGTTGCAGACGGTTCAGAGGAAATGGAGACGGTTATACCCAGTGTGTATTTTTAAATTTTTAATCCAAATTGGACATGCCTCCTTGTGATATAAAATTATTTATTCATTATGAATTTTCTTATTTAAAGTTGATGTATTGCGACGTGCACAAATTGACGTGACTGTCGCCGGAATTGCATTACAAAATGAAAATTACGCAAAGTGCAGTCGTGGTGTTATGATTGTACCAGACCAATCTTTTTCAAATATTTCCGAAGAAAACTTATTTAAAAAATGTATCTATGATGTTATTATTATTCCGGGAGGTTTAGCCGGTGCTCAAACTATTTCATCCAATTCAGAGGTTCAAAGATTGTTGGCTTCAGCGCATCAATCTGGCAAATTTATCGCTGCAATTTGTGCTGGTATTTTGAAAGAATATTTTCATAAATATAAGGCCATGTTGTACTTCAGCACTTCATTTGTTTTATTTAATATCAGGAACTATTGCGATTAAGAGCGCTAATATTAACAAGGGCGGCAAGATTACGTCCCATCCGGTCGTTAAGGCTGATTTGGAAAATGGTTAATATCTGTTTGTTCATTTTACATCACAATGAATGAACTTTACATTCATCGTGAATTTTTTGCTTATCTCCTAGATTATGATTACCAAGAAGAACGCGTTGTGGTTGACAATAAGGTCATTTCGAGGTAATTTGAAATCTTGGAGCTATTACGCATCCTGATTGGATTTTTGGTAATAATTATCTATCAATATTAGCCGAGGACCAGGTACTGCATTCCTTTTTGCATTAACGATTGTCGAACAACTTCTTGGTAAAGAAAAACGCGATGAGATATCTTCTCCTATGATTCTCGCATCAACTTTGTGAAATTCCCGTATTTAAGATTGATTTATTAAAAAGAATAATAATAAAGATGAATTCGTTAACCTATTATTTTATTACCGTTTTATCATTGACCTGACAATGTTAATGTAATCAATCCATTACCTCATGTAGATCATTAAAAATACATTTTTTTTTGGTATTACTAAATCTCTTAGTAATGACAATCGTACAACTGTTATATCTCGACCCTACGAAATTAAATACGAATAGCTTTGACAAATCGCCTCATTACTCTACTGGCACAATTTATTTTGTTCCGTTCTTAGAGTCAATAGCTGTCCTAAAATCTTTTTTTTGTTATCAACTGCGACAGAGGTAGTCTCATTTAACGCTAAGACAGCAAAATGGATAAAGCTCCACATATGCCAAAGAGAACCTCAAGTTTTCATTCCGGATCTTTTCCTGTAGTTAACTCGTCCGACGATCATATCTTCTCCAGCAATGTAGAGGACTACGATATTAATACAAACAGTCCTATAGGTGGGAGTATATTGGTGCTTTTTCCCATTTTTTAATCTAGCATATTTTTCTTAGAATATACTTTCCTGACTTATTTCTTGGTTCATAACTGTTAACTATGAGAATAAGCAGAACAAGAAATGAGTTAGAAATGAAGAATTATTGTCAATTTTTTTCAATGTATTAGACTTAAAAAACTTGTGATGTCATTTTAATAATTATAAATTTGTTTAATTTCCAAAATATACATAGGTTATGGTGCATCTGCTATTGTTTATGGTGCTTTATATAAACCATTGAATAAAAGGGTTGCCGTTAAAATGATAGATCTGGATTTCTTTGAGCGAAATCAAATCGATGAAGTTAGGGTACTGTATATTATTCAACATTATAATCGATTATCAATTGATTTTATTCTGATCGTCGAAGCAAATTATATATAAACACTGTTATCTCATATCTCATAACATATTAATACACCAGAGAGAAACACAATTAATGTCTCTTTCAAAACATACGAATGTGTTACGTGTTTATGGCTCGTTTGTAAACGAATCAAAGCTTTATATTGTTACTCCTTATATGTCAGCTGGTAGGTCCCGTTTAATTCTTAATAATTATAACCAATATTAGATTAGATCTTTTCAAACATTATGTGAACATGTTGAAAGATGTCCACCAATATTATCAGGTTCATGCTCGGATATAATGAAGACCACTCATCCCGATGGTTTCGAAGAACAAGTAATAGCGGCTATTTTAAAACAAGCCCTTCTAGGATTGGATTATTTGCACAAAAATGGACATATTCACAGGCAAGCTATAATTAACTTAAAAGAAAATGTTAACAAGTAAAATATCGCTTAATGTTTTTTTATTATTTATATTTACTATTTTTTTCCCCCCTATTATAAATTATAATAAAAATAGAGACGTAAAAGCCGGAAATCTTCTTGTAGACGAAGATGGATCAGTTCTGCTTGCTGATTTTGGTGTATCATCTTCTCTAACAGAAAATGGTGATAGAAGAGGTTTTCGAAGAACTTTTGTCGGCACAGTAAGTGGATATACTTCAACAAGCAATTATTTTATAATCATGAAATTAATGCTTTTGTTCTTTATTGAAATTCTTTATTAGCCATGTTGGATGGCTCCAGAAGTTATGGAACATGCAGGATATGATTATAAAGCCGATATCTGGTCCTTTGGGATTACTGCGCTTGAATTATCTACTGGACATGCACCTTTCGCCAAATTTCCGCCCCTTAAGGTGCATATTTTAAAACCATCTCTTAATCCTTTGTTGAATCCATATATTTTTTAATTATATTTCGTAACTAACTTCTTTAGGTAATCATGGTTACACTTTCTAACGATCCTCCTACTCTTGATAGAGAATCAACAAAGCATAAATATTCAAAGACATTTAAGGAAATGATCGATATGTGTTTGCAAAAGGAACCAACTAAGCGGTGCATATATTTATCAAGACACGTCTTATTTTCTATATATTATGTCATATATTGAAAATTTATTACTTACTTATTCATTTTTATGTCTTTAGTCCATCTACAGAAAAATTGCTAAATCATCCGTTTTTTAAACCTGCTAAGAGAAAAGATTTTTTAGTGAGTAAAATATTGCAACACTTGCCACCTTTGGAAGAAAGGCCACATAAAAGTATATATAGTCTTTATTTGTTCAATTCGATTATTTAAAAATTTATTTAAAATATATGTATATTTATATATTCTTAATTTATTTGATTTAACTTTATTTTCATTAGGAGTTCAACAAAAACCCATAACATATAACAAAGGAGTAACATGGGATTTTGCGGTTGATAGTGAATACCGTGAAAATGATGATCAAGACTCGCAAGAAGCAAATGACGGTACATCAGAAGGAAAGCGAGTTGAATTTTCTGTTATTGGTGAAAATAATGATGCTTCCAAAACAGATTCGAGTGCTGCAGTTGTACCACAAAAAAAGTCGCGGTTCCAGGTTGGAGATGCTGTTACAGAATCAAATAAACCTTTATCTTTATCCGTACCTTCGACTCCTTCAGCTATCTCTGTTCCTTCCCAAAATCCATTATCTAAATCCCAGCCTCCTTCTGCTGGAACAAATTTTGTATCTAATCCATTTTCGTCAGGAGAAAAGGATGAACAGAATGCTCAACGTATACAACCTCATCAATCACAAGGAATTAAAAAGGGAAGATTTAGTGTTGAAAGTAATGGAATTAGGGAAAGAACTTTTTCTTCCGGAACTCTACCTGAATCCGATAATCAACTTCTTCCTCGGTCTAAGGAGTCTAACGAGAATTTAACAGGTGACCCATAATATGGTACTTGCAATGTACTGGTTTATATGTTTATTATATATACTTATTTAATAAATTCTAAATTATTTCAAAACGTTATTGATACAAATCTACAGAAAGTAATAAGAAGAGCAGATTCGAAGTCCAACAGCCTTTGGATATTACATTGACATCATCGTCAGGTTCTCAAATTTTTTCTCGAGAAAGTTCTGTTCATTCACTTTCTCGTGATTCAACATTGTCAAAAGGTGATACTTTATTAACCAAGGAAGGTACTATTAATGGAGGATCCTTAGATGTGCAAACTATGGAAAAGGCTCCAGAAAAACCTGTGGGTACCAAAAAAGGAAGATTTCAAGTATCCAGTGTTGATGTACCACCAAAGATAGATGGGTCAATATCTCCATCAGGTATAGAGAAAGTTGGAAATGAATAACAATGTTTATACATATATTTATTCGCCTTATATGGTTGTTTATTTATTATTTAAGAAAATCAAACAGCTATTAGAAAAACAATTAGGGTTTTACGATTTTTTTAAACTATTTAACTTTTTATATATTAAAAAAAATAAATAAAATATTTCCTCATTCCCTCCTGCCTTCTCACTCTTTTTTTTTTTTTTTTTTTGTCATTTGTATAAAAATTTGTTTAATTTTTTGGTTTGACCAAAATAAATTAAAATCAGGGAACTTGCTTACATCTGAAACCACATATTCACCACAATCAACTTTCATGGGTCACTCGCCCAGTATCTCACCTTCCTCATCCATCTTACGCGGTCAAGGACAACATATGATGGGTTCTAGTTCACATATTAAAACTTTATTACAACAGAACGAAACACAACGAGCGATTTTGCATGAGCTATTATCTGCCACATCAGCCGCGGCTATAGTCGGAAGAATGCAACCACAGCAATATAATTTACAACAATTTCCGAGTGTAAATGGTAATACAGGAGGAATCAATAGGAATTCAACAAAGGAGATCGCGGCATCTTTGGTATATATACATTGATTTTCAACAGACTTAATTGTAGATCTTTTATTTGGTTCGCGAGATATATGATTAATGAATTACTTTCATTATTATCATTTTATATTAGAATTATCTGGAAAGACAATTTCAATGCGTTCTTCGTGATAATGAAGAATTACGTAAAGAAAATGAAAGTCTGCGGAGAGAAAATGAAAAATTAAAGAAATCACCCCTTTTGAATTCACTGGCTTCTGGAAAGTTGACAGCTAATTTTATTCCAACCACAAATGCAGCAGATCCATCATCAACAAAATCAGCAAGCGGGAATATGAGCAACGCTTTACAGTAGATCAAATATCTTTCTTTTAATGGTTTTGTCATGTGAAATCTTGGTGATGATTGAGAATTATTTTTTTCAGGTAAGTTTCAAATTCGTATCATTATCTGTACTAAATCAGGAACTATGAATGAAATCCATGAAAATTCCATAATGAAAAAGAAACAAAATCATAAGATAATGTACAGAGTATTGGGTGATCTATGATTTCTTTCCGCGGATATATTTTTAAGTCAAAATCTCTATCATATTAATTGTTATTATAATTATAAATAATATATACAAATGGGCCTTGGGAAAAATTGGAGGATAATTAAAATTTTTTTATTTTACACTTTTAATAATACGCTTATTCAACACACGCAACACTCACACTTATATATGAAAAATATAATAACTTTATATAATTCAGTTTATATTATGTCATAAAATTTTATTTCAATTACAATTAATTAAAAAATATTTATGTAAACCGATGATCTATAGAAGATTATGCAATGTTTCGATAATTGGCACGTAATAATTTTTGTTTGAAAATTAAAGTATAAATACCGATCTGAATTTCTCTCCCCAAAAAATTATTTTATTTTAAAAGAATAAAATAAAAATTAAATATAAAACTGCGTTATGAATCCCTCGACAGTTAGATTGGTAGAATTATGGAAAGCCAGCTCGGAAATGACAGTAGGTGAAATAACAAGGTATAGAATATGTTTTGATCCTAAAAAGATAAGAAAAAGTACTGCATGGCCACCACAAAATTTGGTGTTAAAAGTAAAGAATACAACCCCAATAATCTATGCGATAGCGATATTACAAGGACCATATAATATATCAGCAACTTGCATTGAAACCAAACATAATGATCGTAGCATTTTCAATCAACCACTTGAAATCGTACCACAAACTAAGGCTGGAATAAAATGCGGTGAAACGTGGGAAATAACATTAAATTTACCATATGAAATAATAGAGGGAGAGGAGGATTGGATTGGGGATTGGACAATTGAAGTATTAAGTGATATATTATTTAGCAACAATAAGGTACAATATGAGGTATTATTATCTGCGGTGATCACATGTGTAACAGACGAAATAGAAGAATTTCAAATTCTTGATCTTAATGTTAAGGATGAGAAAGAATATAAAGATGGTCCTACCATAATTAATATTCATTCACCTACAATATCATTTGAATATTTTAAACCAGAAGATGTATTTGCTTTACCAAATCTCAATGATATAATTAAAAATAATAAGTCGGTTCATCTTGTCGTGTTAACTCATGGGATACATGGATCTATGTTGGATGAATTATATTTAAAGGAATCTATTGAAGAAATGTATAAAGATCAATTAGAATATGAGGTCGTTGTTTATATGTCTGATGTTAATCATTCTGGTACCCAAGATGGGATTGAAAATTGTGGTAAGAGATTAGCTAAAAATATTTTAGAATATATCGGATGGCCTTGGATTTCCTCCGATCATACGAGTTCTTCGATTACCTCTAGTTCATTGGCTTCTCCTTCTGAATCAAAGAACATTAATTTTAATAGAAATTTACTATCCAAAATATCATTCATTGGGCACTCATTAGGAGGTTTGATCAATGTGTTCCTTATAGGTTACTTAAATAACGTAACTAATGGAACATTTTTTAAGGAAGTTGAACCAATACATTTTGTAGCGATAGCGTCACCATTCCTAGGTTCGACAGATTTAGCCTGGTATCTTCAATTTGGTCTGAAATTGGGTGCAGTAGGTCAAACCGGTAAAGATTTAGCATTAATACCACGGTCAAAAAATGAACAACATTCCGCATCAGACGTTTTAGATAAAGGAGATTCATTTCCCAATATTGACTCGCTTAACGAAGAACCTTTATTATTATCTTTATCACGTCCAAATTCTTCTTCTCATATGGCATTAAAATCATTTAAAAATCGTACATTATATGCAAATATTACAAATGATGTACCGGTATCTCTCAAGAGTTCTTCTCTTTATTTTATTAATTATAACGGTGATGATTGTGTTAAAGATCATTCTCACATTACTTTACTTAGTCAATTACAACGCTTGGTAACCACTTTAATGCCTCCCGAAACCACTAAGGAGTATCTTAATAGATCTTTTTCTGTTAAATCTCCTATTATTTATGATAAATTATATCATCCTAACGATATTCCTCCTATTGCCGATACCTTTTCTACTTCCTCTGAAAGGGAAGCAGATGAAGGTTATCATAATTTGCCTATTGAAGAACAAATTGCTAGATTTTGGCATAAAGACATGTCTTGGCGTAAAGTACTTGTTCGTCTTGATGGCGACGCTCATACTCATGTAATTGTACGTAGAAAGTGGCAAGATGCTCCTGGTTGGCAAGTGATTAATCATTTATTAAATAATCATAAATTTTAATTATTAATGGTAGAATGTAAACGTTTCTTATTTAGTTAACTAATTTAAATTGAACATTATGATTACAAAAATTTTAAATTGAAGTTTCGAACTATTATTTCTAATATACAAAATATTCATACTTTCGCTCTTTATATTATTAATATTATAAGATCAAAGGTTCCATCTATCACAATTTATCGGCTCTCTCTTATTTATTTGTGTAAATATCGCCTATAATTATATTAAAGACTCGTTAATAAAATTAAATACATTACCGAAAAAAAAAATTAAGAAATAAGCATACCTTTGCAATACTTGTTATTTTTTCGTGCTCGTTATGCTTTATGAGATTGTTATCGGCGTATTTTAATGCTTCATGTAACAAATTATCAAGTATCGGCAATACCACTAAAAAAAAACAGAATTAATCATTACAGTTACTGGTTTAACCAATGAAAATATGTAACTCTTACTAGGCTCTTGCGAATGTTTGAGAAAGGGATCTGTTAATAATTGCGGAACAGTAAAACGTGCTTTCGGGTTTCTCTCGAGGCATCCTTTCATTATACGAATCAAATTTTCATCAATCGCCTTATCATTTTGGTTATTTGTAGTGGTTGAAAATGAAATTATATAATTTTCATCAAGTATGGCCTGGTATTTTTTGGTCATATTCAAATGAGAGAACGGTGTGTGACCATAAACCATCTGATAAAGAATACATCCAAGTGACCAAACATCACTTGGTCGGCCTTGCTATAAATGCTATTATTAATAATTTATCGAATATAATGCAGTACTACCTTTAAAAAAAGGAAATAAACAAAAATATCTTACTTTCAGGCATTTTTTCCCATTTTTGCCCGTTTCTAAGTCACTCGTGTCGTTGAGGGCTTCCGGCGACATATAATTAATCGTGCCTACCTAAAAGTCAAAATAAAACAATTTCAGTAATTAAGTGAAACAAAAAAAATCCCTTTTAAGGTAATAAAATTCTCATACATGATGTTCTCGATGAATATTGGTCGTGCCGTTTGGTATTGCTTTCGCAATACCAAAATCGATTAGTTTTAACGTCCCGTTTATTATTATGAAGTTGGCAGGTTTTAAATCTGTGTGCACGATGTTTTCTAGTTGTATCGCATACACGGCCTTTAACATCTAATAATTATTTATTGTCATAATTTAAGTATCTTCGCATTTATAATATTGACATATATCATTTTATTTTACCTGTTCCCAATAAAATCGGATATCATCTAAATTTATTGGTTTTCCATTTTGAGAATATAAATAGTGAGCTAAATCTTGTTCCCCACATTCCAACAACTTGAAGGATAATAAATAAGAATGAGCGGAAAATTTATCTCTAATTATTAAAATAAATGATGCTTGAAATTACCATTAATAAATATCCCCGTTCTTCGTTTACTTCCGCATCATACAATTTTATTATACCGTCTCTTCCGGATAAACGTTTTAATAAAGATACTTCGTTAATGTATCCAGATATTATATTATCATCAACTCTGTCTAAAGTGACTTTTTTCATGGCGTAAACTTGACCGTTTGAATCAGTCACCTTATAAACTTTGCTACTACCTCCGCGACCAAGTACCGCGTAACGTTTATATGGTTTTCCATTGAGCTATTAAATTTTTTATTTAAAGATTGTTTTTATAAAAAAAATCGGAATCTCAAAAAAAAAAAAAAAATTGTTTACCATCATGATGTCTTTGTGCGCATTTACATTTTGTATAATAGGCTCAGCCTTGGAAGTTTCTGGCGAATGACCCTTCATATATAAGTCACTTATTAATTTAGCTTCTTGATGACCTACTTTCAAAGAATGTTGTAAATTTGATTTTTCATCATTAATTGATCTTGTAGGTTTGAGATATGTATATGGTTTAATATGGTTATCTTCCTTTGATAATAAAGCATCATGCTCTTTACTGTCTACAACATTCATGTAAAGGTAAACTTTTAGAAATTAACTTCAAATGAAAAACGTTAAATTTCGTAATAAAGCGTTACCTGAAATCTTGCGACGGCTAGGTTGATCGGAAGGTTCTTTCGGTTCCTCTTCTTCCGGAACTGGCTCTGCTTGTATCTTTTTTACCCGTTGTGGTGGGCCTACTCAGGATTGATTTTTTAAATGTTAAAACCGTTGTCCAATATATCCATAATCATAAAGGGTAATTCCTTACCAAGGTTACGCGCAGTAGTTATCGTTCTTCTTCTTCTTCTCACAGTTGAACCATTATTCTGCAACCTTATCAACAATTTGAACGTGAAACAGATGATGTAAGAAGTTGAACATGTCAATATAAGCAATTAAATGATTCATTTACCTATCAGTGACTGCTGGGGTTGATAAGCCATATCGAGCTGCTGCATTATCAATATGATTATTCACACACGAAAAGGACATATTTAACTCTTGAGGACGAGTTGTTACTGGTGTTTCTAAACCCTGTAATAAAATAAGCTTAAATTGTATATTTTGATGTTTTGACACGCTTCTTTATTCATAATATTACCTTGTTTGTATTCCTCGCTGGACTTTCACCATGTCCATGGGCCAAATTTGTAAGGTTTGCAAACGGGCCAAAGAGACTCGAGTTAATCGGACCATTCAATACCGTATCTACAGTTGCTTTTCTTGTTTTCGGTTCATCCATTTAAATTGAGACTAGTTGTAATAATCGGTTCTTTATTCAAGGAAATAAAGAAAAATTCGAAAATAAACGTCTCGTTAAATATACGCGATGAAAATAATGTTCAATATTTATGCACGTGATTTACTTCATTGTTATTGGTTGAATTTGGAGCATCACTTTTTTTTTTTTATCGATAAAAAATCAGAAATCAGAAAAAAAAAAAAATAAAAAAATTTTTTTCATCTTTTTTAAAATATTTATTTAAAAATATGGGGAAATTAAAGCAAAAAGGAAAAGCTGGGGCAGCTACAAATTACATCAATCGAAATCAAGCTTTAAAAAAGTTACAAGTTTCACTTGCGGATTTTAGGTACACCCATACTGTATTTTGAATTTATCATTTGCTAATACGGAAAATTTTATTGACTAGTTCTATTTTTTACTTAAGACGTTTATGTATTCTTAAAGGCATTTATCCTAGAGAACCGAAAAATAAGAAAAAAGCCAATAAAGGTTCTACAGCTCCAACAACTTTTTATTATACAAAAGATATTCAATACCTCGCTCATGAGCCAGTCCTACAAAAATTCAGGGAACATAAAATATTTTTAAGAAAATTAACTAAAGCCTTAAGTAAAAGAGAATTAAGTATTGCGAAAAATTTAGAGAAAAATAGACCAGTTTATAAATTGGATCATATCCTTAAAGAAAGGTAACCACAGTAGTAAATTGTAATTTTTTTCGTCAATTTATTAAAAAGTTTTAAATGAATGAAATAATTAATTACTTTCTCGTTTTCATTAAACAAGATATCCTACTTTCACTGATGCTTTAAGAGATCTTGATGATGCATTGTGTATGCTGTTCTTATTTTCTACATTTCCTGCAACAGATAAAATAAACTCGGAGACAGTTACAAATTGTCAAAGATTATGTGCTGAATTTCAACATTATATCATTAAAACTAAAAGTTTACGTAAAGTTTTCTTGTCAATTAAAGGAATTTATTATCAAGCAGAAGTTAAAGGTCAAATAATAAATTGGTTAGCTCCTTATCAATTTAGTCAACAGGTAAATTACTAAAGATATTAATGTTAATCATTGTGTTATTCTGACTTAATTCTTTTAATTAATAGGTTCCTGATGATGTTGATTTTCGTGTTATGTTAACTTTCTTGGAATTTTATCAAACCCTTCTTGGTTTTGTAAATTTCAAATTGTATTCCGATGTAAATCTCGTTTATCCACCAAAATTAGACACATCTAAAGATGAAGGTGCAGCTGGATTAGGTGCTCTTATTATTGAGACTACCAATAGTCTTGCAACTTTATCTACTAGTTCACATAATAACGAGGATATAAATAATAACAATACTATTAAAGAAGAGATGGTAGTTCTTTTTTTAAAAGTTATTTGACGACTTTTAAATGTTTCGCTAATATTAAGAATTTATTATTCACAGGTTCGCAAGCTGGAATCTGAAAAACGTCTAAAGACATTATCGAAAAAACTTGCAACTATTAAAGATCAAGGGAATACAACATCAGAAATACAACCTGATACTACGAAAGAACCTGAAGTTATTAGTAACGAGGAAATAATTGATGAATTTACATCATCAGATTCAAAATATCAACAAGATGTCTCATCAAAAACATATACGTATAGTGATATACAAAATGCTTCGATTGCATTAACAGAATTTGAAAATTTATTTTCTAATTGCATTTTTTATTTATCTCGTGAAGTTCCAAGATATTCTTTAGAATTTATTATTCGTACTTTTGGTGGTCAAGTTGGTTGGGACGAAACTTGTGGTGTTGGATCACCATTCAATGAAAGTGATGATCGCATCACACATCACGTTATTGACCGCCCTACTTCAGGTCATAGATTTTTATCACGTGCTTATATTCAACCACAATGGGTTTATGATTGTGTTAATGCTAGAAAATTATTAAAAATTGAACCATATCAACCTGGAAAGACTTTACCTCCTCATTTATCGCCCTTTGTTGAACATAAGGAGGGTGATTATATACCTGAGTTTGAAGGTGATATGGAGGAAAAGGAATTGAGAAATGAACAAGAAATAAAGAAAGATACTTCAATCGAAGAAAGTGATAACGATGACAAAAATGATAGTGAAGATGATGACAGCGATGAAAATGAGGATGAGGATCCTGAACCTGAATCGTGTTCTTCTCATGATAAGAAAGCAATTATTCCTCTAATCACATCTGATGAGGTAAAAAAAAATATTTTTTATCACTATTCTTCATTCGTCTTTTTATAATAATTAATATTGACCACCTTTAAAATTTCCCCACTCCTTAAGCCTTATAATGAAGATATAATTCATCAAATGGAACTCGAAGCTGAAGCAACAGGAATATCATTTTCTATATATCAAGAAAAACAAGATCAACTTGCTAAAAATCAGAAAATTCAAAACACTAATAATACTAAAGTTCAACAGCCTTCTATTCAAACTATAACTGGTAAAAAACGTGCAGCCAAAGAAATTGAAGAAAAAGAAGTTAAAGAATTGGCCAAAATAATGATGACAAAGAAACAAAAAACTCTATACAATAAAATCCAATATGGCAAGAAAAAACGTCAGGAAAAAGTTGAAAATCTACAACGTAAAAAACAAGAAATTATTTCTCAACAGAAGAAAAGACCAGCTACCTCTAATAAAAATGATAGCAATAATAATATTAATAATAATAATAATAATAATTCCAATAAGAAACGACGAAACAAATAAGGGAAAAAATTAGCTTAAGTGATATTTCTTTTTTTTTTTTTGTATATATGTTAATAAGCATACATCGTTGATTAAAATAGAAATACATTTTTGCGGAGCATATTTTAACTACAAGTAATGATTCGTTCATACATTTTTAAGTGATAGCTATATGAAATTTGGTCATAACATTTTCTAATATAAAATAATGAAAAAAGGTAAAAGAAAGGAAAATAATGCATAAATATAATGTCTCATCAAATCCCAAATATTTTTGATATTGTTTATTATATCCATCCTGATATTATTTGAACACCTGAACAAATATATTATCCCGTCTGTTATCAATTAAATTTACTTAAAATTATCTATTATTGTAGAAAATAGATCTACAAACTAATAAGGATAGTAAAAATATATATATACAAATATTATTATATAAAACGCATATGAAATGATTACGCGTTCTTTCTCGGAGAGGTCTTAAGTGTTGTTGACCTACGTTTTTTACTTGCCGCTGACCCGTTATCATTGCCTCTTTTAAGACTTAGATCTATTAAAATGAAATTTTTGAATAACGATAGTTAAAATTATAAAAGTCACAATCAATTATAGCTTACCACTTAGGGCCGGAGATTTTTTTGAAAGTTTTTGGATAGGGGAACCCATTATAATTCCATTAGGGTTAGTTACCAGAGGTGAAGGAGTTAGTGTAGGTGTTGGAGTGGGTGTAGGATTAGGTGTAGGATTCGCAGTTGGTGTTGGGGCTGATGCCTGTAAATCATTTGCATTGGGTGTTGGCGGGGCACCAGTATATTCATGTTTAATGTTTTTAAGTCCATTTAGCTGTGGATTTGATATCCTGTGGTTTGGGTTTGGATTTGGATTATTAGAAATTGTAGGTGTAAGATTCATGGTTTGAGATGAAGCTGACATCATCCCTAATGTCTCTAAAAAAATATATGTGTGTGTGAATATATATATCAAGATACATATTAACTTATATATATAAACGTAAATGCAGGTTGGTTCCATTACAAGAAATTTATAATTACGTAGTGGTCCAAGTTGTGGATTGAATATAGCATTTCTCATGACTTCGTGCATGTTATCAACAACCTCTGCGATCTGTTCAAATCATAATAAGTATTTAAGATATATAAAAGGATTAACAAAATAGTATGAAAAAATGCTAACATCTAGGCATCGCATTGTCTTAAATGGTATTCCATATTCATTTACAGTCGCTTCTTTTGATATTTGATGATGTCGTGGCACATATTCGGTAAACTTTGAAGTTTCAAATTCATAACTCGTCATTTTTTGCATATTGTTAAATATGACCGTTAAACGACCGGATGCCGCAACCTAGATTATAAAATATTAAATAAATAATAAATCCTACTGAAAGCAACGAGTTTAATTGTTACATAACTTTTTACCTGAACTCCATTTCTAAAATGGTATACTATAGAAGCAGATGTGCAATCTATTATGGTTTGAATACCATTTAAATTACCAATTGGGCCAATTGTTTCCTTTGGATTTCCAAGGATAATTTGTATCTTTTCTATTCCAGATTCAAAAAATGTAAGATAGAATCTTGGAATAACATGATATTTGAGTTCTATTCAACCAATAGGAAAAGGTTATATAAAGAGATTAACAAAATTAAAGACTAAATACAATATAAAAAACCTATACCATATTTCTTTTTATCATTATTCTTTATATTATGTAATGTATATTTCATTGTAATTTCCTCAGTAAAATACTCGTGTGCTAAAGTTTTCCAGAATTGGATATCCCTTGGGCTCTAATTCGATTAATTTAAATGATTAGTAAATGACAAAATAGATCCATGATTAACAATTCAATCTATAACGTACTTGCGGATTATCACATCCTAAAAATTCTGCAAAAGTTAATAGTCTTACAATGCAAGAGAGTCTAAATCAATGTAAAAATGTTCATTCCCGATGTAATTAGCGCATTAGTTCATTATTCAATAAATCATTCCATGTTAATAATAACTTAATATGAATTACTTGGGTGGTATCCGCATTGGAATAACGTTTCTTGGGTTATTTGACATTATCATATTCGGTACATATGAATTTGCGTTTATATTATGGTGAACTCCTGGTACATATCCATTTGGTGTCATGGTAAAGTGTGGTCTTGTAGGTGGTAATCTTGAGCCATTTGGAATGCTGTAAACCAAGGGACCCACTCGTATCCCTCCCGGCATAAAACCAGTCGGATTATAATTCGCCATTAATATACAATTTTGGTGCAATAGATCTCAAATGTTAATTTTTATAAAAAAAAAAACAAATAAAAAGAAATAAGTGATTTATTATTAAAAATTGACCAATTAATTATAGAGAAGAAAAAAAAAAAAAAAAAAAAAAAAAAAAAAAAAAGTTAAATAAAAAAAAATTTTTTTTTTTTAATTGTTATAAATGTGTTTAAACAAAAAAAAAAAAATAGGAGTCTGGTTTGTCAATATTACAAAGATCAGAATTATCTCCAATAAAAGATGATTTGCGGAGTTTGAAAATTTGGAAGCGGTATCACTCGCTTGGTAAATCAGCCAATCACTTTAATGTAAATCTCAACATCAGGATATGAGTCACGATTTTAAAACGCGTCACCTAAATTGATACATGCATATTTTCTTTTATCATGTTGTTAATCCTTTTTCCTTTTAAAGCATTTACAGTCGACAACCCTATATAGTCACCTCGGGACGCTATATGATGTGACAATAGAAGAAGTAGGTTAATTATTGTGCTTATAAGAAGTGAGTGACTACAACTGTAATCAATTTGGGTATGAATGGTATGAATGTATGATTCCATATAATCGTATGTTTAAGATCGTGATTTTTATCAGTGCATTATGATTAATAACTCTTCTGAATCTTATGAAAATATCGTTTCGGATCATATGATTTACATGTCTTTTGTTTATTAATTATTATATTCTTGTTATAATTGCCTGCCGAAACCTCTTCAAATAGTTTCGTTATACAATATTTTCATGTTTGACACTAATTTTTCATGCTATAAATATAAAGAAAATTCATTTTCACACTTTTATAATATATAATTTTTTTTTATATTAAATATTAAATAAAAAATGAAATCAATATAAAATAAAATAATTATATCATTACTATTAAGCTATTTAATAATTGGTAATTAAATTCGTACTTTTGACTAACTTTACATACAAAATTTTCTTATCCAATTTCTAAAATTATAAACAAAGATAAATGATACAAGCATTTTTATAAATAAATAAAAAAAATTGTCATTTTAGTTTAAGAGATCAGTCAGATTCTGTATATAATTACATATATACAAAAAGTCATATAATGTTGTTTTTTGATTTATTTTTAACTAATATACTGTAAATTTTATTTTTATTTTATGAATTATTAAAATTATAAAATGTTTAGCCATTTTATCTTTTATACAATATAATATCTAATGATTTAATTTTAAATTGTTTTAAATCTTAATATTATTTCAAACTTACTTTAATTCATCTTTATCAACTAAATTATTCAATTTATTTAACATGTTATTTTTGAATAACAATTACTTTTATTAGTATTATCTGCTTATAATAAATTAATTATATTTTTTACTATTTTTATTTTACCTTTTTTTAAATTTTTAGTTTTCTTTTAATGTTCATTTAACTTCAAATAAAAAAATTATTATTAACATTATTTTAAAGTTTATTTTATTTATTTATAATTAAAATATAAAGGAGGTAATTAGTTATTTATATAATGTTAGTATCTATTTAAATATTTTTTATTACTAACTATTTTTTAAAAAATAGATATTTCATTATTTAATAAATAAATATATAATTTAATGTAAATATTAAATTATAATTAAAATATATTTTAATTATTATCCCCTATAAGTACAGTTGTGATGGAAAAAACTGACAATTTTTTTTATAACTTCATAATTTTGTAAGTTTTACGTCTAGAGATATGAATTTAGTATCATTAGATTCATATCAATAAGATAAATTTAATAAGCTATAATTCATTTTTCTGTGATTACTAAATGTAAAAAAATATCATAAAATGTCATATGTAATAAATGTCAATAAATACTGCTAATAATGATGAGGGACGAAACTCCTTAATAACAGTCGAAACTTAGATAAAACTATATTAAATCATAATAAGGGATACGACAAAACCCTTTCGATACAATAAAAGCTGAAACTGTCAAAACTATATTAAAAACATAGAAAAGGGTATGACAAAATTATTTTGAGGAGGTTTCGGCAGGCATTTATAACTGCTAATTTATTTGACACTTTATTCCATAATTATACAAACTTTATACTTAAAGATATGAATTTATTACTATTCAATTTGTCTTAATGAGACGATTCTAATGAACTATATTTTATCTTCATATGATCACTAGATACAGTATAATATAGAAAAATATATAGAAGATTATTAAAAAATATATTTTTTTTATATATATATTTATTTTTCAAAATCTATTTTAAAATGCATAGAATTAGTGATAAAAAATAATTATTGCATAATAGACTATTAAATAATTATTATGTCTTAAAGTGTATGTCAAAAGATACAATATATTAAAATTTTAAGATTTGTTAAATAAAAATCACATGAAATATTCACTATTGTTTAATTATTAGTTTTTTCTCCCAGAGCTGTAATTACTAATACTTATACTATCAATTGTTTTCTAAAAGTAATATTAAAATTAATTATTATTAAAATTAAATTTAATATTTATGATTAACAATAATTTTTATTTTTTTAATTTTATATATATTTAAATTTATTTTAATATAATAATAAATATATAAAATATAAATTTTTAAAAATAATAGAGATAATTGTAATATAAAAGATATTAAAGTTTGTAAATTAGATTTTTCAATAGCAATTATGAAAAATTATATTATTTTATTAAAGATAATTAATGAAATTATCTATATTTAACAAAAATTTTATTTAAATATAATTAGTAAATAGAGAAGTTATCTTTAAAACATATTAGAGTTGATTAATTAAACTTGAAAATTTTATATTATATTAACTTTATTTAATAAATAAATTAATTAAAAAATAATAAAAAAGTGTCAACAAAAAAATATTATACATATATTTTTACTTTTATCAATATTATGAAAAGATTTATAATAAAAAAATATAACTATATAAAAATTCTTCTTATATTTTTACTAAAATTTTAATAATTAATAGAAAATAGTATTATTATATAATTAGTTTTATATAATATTATTTTAGAAAAATTTAATATTGATTTAATAGATCCATTTATAATAAATTACTTATAAATTATACAAAAAGCAAAATAAATAATAAAAATAAAATAAAATTATATAAAAATAATAAACTTAAAAAATTTAATACAATTAGATATTTCTTATAAAAATAGACCTAAATCAAGTTTTAAATAAAAATTTTAAAATTAAATCTATTATTAAATTATCAGATAATTAACAAATAGTTTTTAAATAAATAGAAACCTATTATTAAGATATACTTAAAGAATATTAAAATAAATCTTTAAAAATAATTATAATAAATATTATTAGGATTAGCAAGACCTATTTAATAAAAATAATCTGATATAAATTTTGAGAAATTATAAAAGTATCTAAATCATTGATAATTATTTTTATATTAATAAAAATTGTAACTTTTAATATTAATAAAATAATAATTCATTTAATACTATAATAATGAAAATCTATAATCAATAATAAAATTATAACTTTATTAAATCTTTTAATATTTTAAAAAATAAAATTCAAAAAAATAAACCAGTAATTTTATTTTCTAAGATGAGTACTATTAAATTACTAATTAGACTTTTAAAAGAAAATCTAAATAAAAAGTTATAAGTATTTAAACTTGTATAATTTTTATAAGTTCAATTCAAATTTAAAATAAATCAAATTATATAAATGTAATTTTATTAATTAGAACTTATAATAATTCAGGCTGATATTATGATAATTTAATATTATTATAATGCTAACTCAAATTATCAATTATAATTAAACTCAAAATCTTAATATACTATTTAATTAGTTTTAAATTTATTTAAACAAAAATATTTTTTTGAAAAAAAATTGTTCCTGCTTTTATAATTAAATTATTTTTTCATAGGTTCTTAATACTATCTTAATATTTTTATTTTTTAATTTATATATCTCTATTTGATTAACTTTAGTTAAGATTTTAATTTTAAATTTTAAAATTAAACTTTATTTAATATGTTATATAAAATAAAAAATCAATAGCAAATAAATAAATTATTTAGAAAAAAAGACTATTATGTATCTCAATTAAAAAAAACTAATGAGATTACTAGTAAAATTTTTAAGATAAAGTTAAAATTATTAAAAAAGTAAAGTTGATAAAGTTATTAGAATAAAAAATGAAACTGCTAATTTTTAAATAAAAGAAGATTTAGAAGAATTTTAAAAAAAAATTAGAATATGATATAAATTAGTGGTTTCATCTGTAAATATATTATCTGAATATTTATATAAATATATAAATATTTGAATAATAGTTTATAAAAAACAGATTTCTATTTGTATATATATAAATATCTATGGCTATTTATATGAATATCTGTAATTTATATATCTACATATATATTATTAGTCCAGAGTAAAACAAAGAACTTTATAAACTCTTTTTTATTGCATATATTTATTTAAATGAATATATACAAGCCAAATATTATATAAGATATCCAGTGGGATATCACGCTTTAACTTAATTAAGTTAAAGCATAGTATCCCACTTAGACTAGGTTATAGTATCACGCTATAATCTAAATACCATGCTATAATCTGAATACCACGTTAAAATCTAAATATTACACTATAGTCTAGATGTTACACTTAAATCTAAATATCACACTATAACCTAAATATCACGCTATAATCTAATCACTACAACCTGATCACCACGCTTTAATCTGAATACATAACCTGGTTACCACTCTTTAATCTACCCTTTTTATTTTGATGTTA